CAGGCAGCAGATTTGCGGATAGCGTTCCGCCATGCTAACAGAAATCCTTGCAGTTTTCTCATAACCATTCAGCCCACTATGTGATATTTTCTGTCCTGCTCTGTTTCAAAATGATTGAGAATAAGTGCTTTAGAAATATTTATGCTAAAGCCCAAACTTGATAACACCGATGCAAAAACCATGATCAGTCATTGCGATTCCTCTCCAGAATGAGTTGAAATTATCTGCAATCGGTGGCATGCAGAACTCGGACTCAAACAGCGACCTTTTAGCCGGAAAACAACTCGGAATAAATGGTTGTCCAGCTGTTGTTTAGTTAGCTTAATTCCGTCGGAAACGTGAAACCTCCTTGAGCAGATAGTATTGAAATAGAGGCTTTTAAAGGCTGGGGTAACAGCGTGACCCTGGTTTACTTCTATTTTTCGAATTCGATTGAAATAGTTACTCAGTGTGAATGGCTCTAATGAGGTTGACGAACAGGTTTGAACAAGGACTTTCTTTTGACCCATTTGAAACCTTCGGAGACGTCTCTAAACAGCACATAGAGCGAGTGGTTCCTGTCATGTTCATCTTGCGGTAACCAATGATTCAACTCTAATTCGACCGGTTTGCAAGCAGCAGTGCTTTTCCACAGAAGGCCAGAAACTAATTGATTCGGTAGAATACGGCCCAAAATCTCACCTTTTACCATATGAAGCGAATTTCTCATCAGGTGTCTGAAGTCAAATCTTGCGCGATTGGGTTTTTTTGAAAATAGGTGCTTCCAGGCTGTCGTGGTTTCGTTCGGCCTGTTGCGTTTTTGGGCTATTTGTGTCCCTGTAGCTGAAGAGGACAAAATTTTAACAATTTTGACGAGCGTCAAATCGTACTTTTGAATCACGGTAGATGTATTTGTAACATTCTCAGCAAAACGATTTTGTCCTCCTTTTATTTTTGACCTGCAGCAGTTCATCCTACTAGCTTGGGGCTTAGTTAATTAACCAGTTTTTGCTCTAGGAAATTGAAAATTTCCACGTTGGTTTCCTGTTTCCTCAGTGCTTTTGCATAAAACATGAATTAGTCGCTTAGTAGTCTAAGACGTGGCAGTTTTCCGCGTGCAAAAATTAACCTGACAAAAGCAAAAGTGTGATCCTTAGTGCTGTCAGCTCGACGTACCACTGTTTTGATAAGCAAATTACCGAGACACCCTTGTTACAAAATGATATGGTCGGTTAGGTGTCCATTCTTTGAGTGAGTTCAAGTAACAGGCGATACCCGTCCCACGCTGAATCACGTGTCTGATATTAAAGTCTTCAGTGCTGCACGCAATAGTCATTCACTGATCCCATCTCAAATAGCCCAGTATCTTCCTTCAAAACCCCTACTACTTGCTTACCCGAGTAGTATGTATACCAAAAAAGCATTAAGTCACTTGGAGATGCAGTGGTGATTAGGTTGAAAAAATGATTACGGAATTCTTTCTTAACTTCATTTTGGGGGCTTGAACGCTGGTGAATGTTGAAATCCTTGCCCTTAACAGCCGCAGCTGAATGGTGATCAACCTCGAGTCAACACATTTGCGTCCCTTAATTATCTTCCGGTTCATGAAAGCTCTAACTGCAATTCGGATACCGTGTCCACATTGGCTGTTCCAAAGCAGTAGAAAATATGTAAGGAAGCAGGCCTCTATCAGCGTCCATCTGGTGGACAGTTGGGTTCAACTGGGTACACAGGGGTTCATTCCATAGCTATAAAGTTATTTTTCATCACAGCCAATTGTACAGTGGACTTTCACGGGAAACATCCTAAATTACGGAATTGATTTACTTCATTATGTAGATCCGAGCACTTCGTTGTGAAACCCCTTCCGTCGAATTCAGACTTGGCACGGAATTCGAGGACATACTGCTATCTGGCTTACAGTCTGTTCAAACGCTACCAGACGGCGAGCTCTAAGTGGGTTGTACGTCTCTGAAGATGATATACCAATCCAGTACCGTCTGGACGGTACCAAGAGAAGTTGTAATCACCTAACGTGGGAAACCAACAGGATTTCCAGGACGAGTATCAGCCAAGTAATCGCGAAACACACTCAACTTCAGACTAATTCTATCAGGCTACAGTGTGGGGCTTATGGTCATCTGATTGTGAGACATGGTCACTGTGATCAAAAGTCTTAGGAACACCCATGTCTTTGATGGACGATGTTTCGGAACCACAGCTCTCGTAAGCTGGTGCCGAAAGTTTCGTAATAATGTGGCTAACAAAAGTGTGTTCAATTATGTGGCGGGTACTTTACTCCAAGACTGCATCAAACCTCACAAACTACGGAGGTTTGGCTATGTTACACATTAAGTTGTCAACCTCAAGAGAAATATTTCCATGCGGAATTTGGAGTACAGTAATCCAGAAGGCGGCCGAAGTCTGACTTAATGAAAGGGAGTGTGGGGTCCATGTGATCGTCCTCGCACTTATATGGGGAGACTGTTGATTATGCCTACCGGATGAGCCTCGAGAAGAGCGACCTGGCCGTGGGCTGTCATGGTACGTTCAGAAAAACTTAATGAGTATTGTTCCGTCAATAAAATGTACTTACTGCCTTATCCAGGGACTGTCATGTGAGTCGGTAACAAGCCCAACTAAAGGATATCAAAAATGATATTTTCAGCTGGATTCAGTTGAGTCTCCCGCAAAATACCCAAATAGTGTTGAAACTAGATAAATTTGCAAACATTTGGCACTTTCTTTGGGTTCTTCGTTTGCCGCACTAACTGATCAAATATTATCAAAGTTTTTACTTGGTCAAAAGTTTGGAGTATATTATAGATTGAAAAATTTTCGAAATCTGATGAAAATTGTCCATCCAAAAGGAAGTAGCTGGGTAAGAATTGTGACAAAATGACACATCCTTTACCGAACTACTCTCGTTTGCAAACAAACTTGGTTATGTAAATGAATGTATTTTGCTAATTTCGTGCAATTTGGTCTCAAGTAGAACATAAAGTTGACGGAAACTCGGGGACTGCGTTTACCATATGAGCCCCAAGAATAGCATAATCGGTCGTGGACTGTCAATGAATTTTCAGCGACCTTACGAGTAGTGCATTACGAATATATGCTTTATTTTGTTATGTGGATCATTTATTCAAATAAAAACACCAACTTCCGGAACAGAAGCGTGCGAGCTTAATTTTCGGAAGAAAGTTCACAGCATTGTATCCACCCTTTTCAATGTGAATATGATAGATTTGTTTTCCAGATATTCAGCATGATGGATTTTTCGGAATGGCGTGCCATAACAGCGGGGCAATTAGCACCATATAGCGACTTTAGAAATCGAGGGCCTCGCAAACGGGTTGAACAGAATTGGCCCAAAATGGTAAAAGATTTTTCAATGTTCGGGCATTATTAAGACATAACAAAAAGAATAGATTCTGTAATATCTGTGGGCACATTTATCATATTTAATGTTCCACGATGATGGCTAAGAAGGTCGGTGAATGTTTACAACGTCGTGATACAAAGAACGTAGAAATGCGCAGTCACTGAAATGCGCTGAATGTACGGTGAACCAGCTCTGTCTTTGAAACCGCCTGTTAAATCGACCTGCACGAACAGCCTCTCACTCACACTAGATAAAGCATTATGTATTTTGTCCTGAGCCGCGCGCGCGCGACCAGCTATGCATGACCCGCCAATATGTGAGTGATGTACACAAACACAGGTAAATCTATGAAAACGAGTCGATGAAGTATATTTTCAACAATCCGAGTAAACGTTTTTTACTTAAAGTCTTTACGGTACCCTCACGTGCGAAGAAGCTGAAACCTGATTTGCATTCCGAGCTTCACAAAGTCAGTGCTAGCGGGGATGATCCCCGAGTACAGTGATAGAAAAGCTTTATGTCCAATACTAACGAAAAATGTAACAATACGTTTAAGCCAAATTTTTCTACGTTTGTGTGCACTTAAATATCTTGAGCTCAGATAGTAAAACTCGTTTTATGAAAAAAATCAGTCTGAAATTGTAGAGAAACTTATGTTGTAGCGTTCATTCAGTTAAGTGGAGACAACATTGGTTACAAACATCCTTGAATCGGGTCACTATTTCAGACTGTATTGTCGTTAAAAGTTATATTGTAGTGGTCAAAGTGCATTATCGCTTAGTTTCTACTTGCATACACATTCATTAACTTTTTAGAAACTTTTCTTGCTGCTTTCCGGAGGCCGAATCAATGCAGATCATAGTGTTATAGTCCAACATTTTTCATCAGTGCAAAATGCATCATTTTTTTGTGCTCACCGATTAATTCGTGCAAAATCCTACCGGACAGAAGAGATTTTTCATGGTGAATATTCAATTAACTTGGAACAGCCATAAAAGGCTTTAGCAGAGCTAAATTTAGTGCACTAAGAAGGTTATCAAGGTCGATACGGGCCTATGGGTTTATGGTCGCTTGACAGTCACTTAGGGCTACGTCACAGCGAATCACCAGTTCCAGCAGGGTGTGGAAAAACCCGATACATGATTGTGTGAAAGCTTTCAATAAGATCACTTTAAAACTCATGTATGTTTGGAGGCGCTGTGCCAAATCTTACAACTGGGCACTTCGAAAATTCATTTTACCAAACATAATGTCTCCTGACAGAGCGTACAAAGTGGGAAGAAATGTCTTTCGGTATGTTTCCGCTACAATCTAGACAGGGTTCTAAGTCCGACTAAGCGACTCATCACACTTTGTTCAGTCGGGTTCATGAAGCACAGGTTTTGGGTGCAGTTAGTGACTGAAATCCACCCGTCTGTTTTTCTGTGAGAAAATAATCTTGAAGGACTGAACAGACTGTTAACATGTGAGCAAAGCCCGTGGATGCTAAATACTCAACTCAAAAAGTAAGGACTCTGAACACAAATGTCTTTTTCAATCAGTTCAGTAGTTTTCCATTTTATTGTTTAACATTTGACAAACTCATGCTCAACTCAATATTTACTTGCTACCTTTCCACCCACATTTTACTTTTTAGGCTCCAATAAATGACCCGTATCTGGAGGTCTTTCACAAACCAAAGAATGTCTGTTTCCGAACAAACGAGAATGATACTCAGGAATTAGTTGTGCTAATCAAGTCATGTGCGGGTTGTTTTTTGGACAGAAAACATGTGCGTGAAACGTACATGCAAAAATACCTATGGGGTGACTTTCGCATACAGTTCGCTTTTGTCACCGGGCTTCCAGCAGAAAAATCGAAGGAGCCAATCCTGATTGAGAATGTGCTTGAAAACAACCGACAAGGATGGCCTAATGGTAATTTGGACGCAACAAGTTTGAAGGCCTTATTGTTCGAAGAGGCTGTCCTGTTTGACGATATTGTTGTGGGAAACTTTTTAGACACTTATTTTAACTTAACACTGAAACAGATGTTCACATTTCGCTGGGTTTCAGTGTTTTGTAAATATCAATCTCCTGTTTACCTGTTTATAGATAATGACTATTCCATTGTTCCGGCAAACCTCATTAAGCTTGTGCGAAGTATACCGAATACATTTAAACCGAGAATGAATGCCGGAATACGAGGCCCTGATCGTATCGTGCGTCGGCCGAAACTAAAGGACGGCGTGGAACGCGGTGGAGTTTCGGAAGATGAAATACCTTGGAATATATATCCAGAATATTCATCTGGCGCTTGTTATTTCATAGGAGCAGATTTGTTGATTGACGTGACTGTTGCAACGGCGTTCACCAAACGATTTCGATTTGAGGATGCCTATTTGAGTTTTGTCTGGACTAAGCTGAAACAACGGGTTTACGCGTTCAAGGCACTGAGACATTATATCGGCCCCAATCAGGACATATCTGACCTGGCAATAGGACCACAAGTAGCTGTTGACAAGCAGATGAATTGGAAAAGTGGATTTCTCAATTTGACGGTGACGTCAAAAGCGAAGGTTTAGTTCACCACCACTCCGAACAACCAACCATGGTTCAGACTCACACAACCATCCGAGAAATCCAAAAAGGCCAGAAAAAAGCAGGCAAATTGATGGTCAGTGTTTTATGTATAAATCTTTGAAGTACGTTCTTGTTTTCTTTTTTATGACTTTTCTGTACAACTTCAAGTTCACATATGCATGTACTATTTTAGCGGTCAGTGGTGTCGACTATTATACATCAGGAAACTTGTTCGTTCGTTTTCTGTGTTCAGATTGCAACAAGCTTCCACTCACTTGTGATGTCATCCCGACCAACTAGCGAGCGAGTTGAGCTAAATAATTGAGCACTCTGGAATATAGCTGTCTTCGTCAGCGTCAGCATTTCTATTTTCGTTCCATTGCATAAACCAATGAGCCAGTAAAAACGGCGGTTTACGTTTCCTATTTATCTTTATCCGGAATCCCTTTGTAAGTAAAATTCTTCAACCAATCACTCAAAATTGTTTTATAATATCTTGGTAAAGCTGATATGTGATGTTCTTGCTGCATCTACACCACTTGGGGACTGGCATCGCAAGCAAGGGCATTATAAAAAGGTGTACCGATCAGAATCAGGCGAATGCTGCATTGGGTAGATATCTAAACCTGACCAAATGAGGAACTTTAGATCTATTGCTAGTTGATCAAATGACTGTTTATCGGTTCGCCGGGCCCAGAACTTGACCTTCAGGCATTTTTGTGCGGATCTAGCAGTGCACGAGTGGTGATTTGCTCCTACCGACGATGTTTCCTCGAAAACTGTCAAAACATATGCAAATAAACTATGTTGCTTGGCGAGCAGATTAACAGCCACCCGACAAAATACCAATGAATGTGCCAAAGCAATCATCAGTTCAATGTACTTCCAATTTCACATATGGAATGCACCTCCAAGTACGTGTGAATTATTTCTTTTTCATATAATGATATTTGTCCTTGGATAGCGATGAATGTCTAAATGGTAATTATCTAGTCTTTAAACTTTCAAAAAAGGGGGACAAGACAGCAATACAAGACGAGACTGGCAAATTTTCAGGTTAGCGTTACAGAGCAATACACAATCAACGCAAATATTTGTAGAAATGTCTAGAAACATATCTGCTATTGTACCAGATTGCACGCACACCAATAAGCAGCGAATCTGAGAAAAACTAGGGAAAACTAAAAAACAAAAAAGAAAAGAATAAACTAAGAAAAGCAGGACAGAGGTGGACTGTTGAGTCCAGGCAGATATGAGACCATAGAATATTTGTAGACAGAAGTTCTTGTTTACAAAAATGGCCCAACAGGCACTCAGGGAGACATTTTTTTAGTTATAGATGTGTAGTGGAACATTGACGGATTGCGTCAAAGAAAACTGTATAACGATTTATGTTGTAGAGCTAAAACACTTCCGGTGGCAGACAGTTTAATAATCTTTCACCTTGAAGCAATTTAGTAGAGTTGCAGCGGGTTAAAATCGGTGCGGGGAATCAGTGCAGCCTTATGGGTACGCTAGTGGGAAGGATAAAAGTGTCGTTTGGCGAAACTGAAGAGTGAGTGCATCTAACCATTTCATAAGAAATTGAAAGCAACATTTTTTTAAATGCTTAAGCGGGAGAGATAACAGGATGGATGTCTGATGCACGCCGCACATTTTTAATGGCGGTTGATATGAACACAATCTCAGCGCTTGGGGTTGTGTTTATGCCAGTGACTGAACAGGTCTATGCCTAGTGGTCTGGGACTATCTCTGGAGAGAAAGATTGGTCGAGCGAAAACAGATTTCAAGATTTAATGCTCCGAGGAAGCATCTATATCACTAGCAGATTTTAAGCCTTGTGGGTAAACTGATGTACGTATAACTGGAGGGCTTCATGATACTGAACTCCACACTGTAAACCGGACTGATGTACGGAGAGTCGGAAGTTACTTGACCGAATCACATGTGGACTAGGTCATGTGTGCACCTGAAGTCCTAAAGTTCATTCACTTGTCAGTGATGTGTGATATCATGGAGCTACCAAGAAACAGATGGTATAGGCGAACGAAATTTTCCGACTTTCACGGTGCTGGCTGACTGGAACGTCCTGACAGGTGGATCAGTCGACCGACGCACCAGTGACCTTGGTTACAGAGAGATTTGTCAGTTCATTTTGATACATCGCTGATGGATACTAGGATACAGTGAAAATTCCAATTATCGCGTGTTGGTGATTGGGCCGGTCGATGTTCGCAATCCTATTGGTTGAATTTCCCACTCGTGTTCTGACTGACCAAACTTCAGATGGCCTTTGAGGTTGAACTCTGTGACATTTGCCGGACTAGGTGAGTTGTTGATGTCGACGTCCGGTCGGTTTGGGAGATAATCGGCTGTGTTTGTACCATCCGGTCGGGTTCGTATACCCTTGCTTGTAGAGTGAATAGGTCAGGTCCAATTCGACGTACCCGTTTACTGAGTTACCTGTAGAGTACCATAGTCGGAAATTCCAAAGATTGTTCGGGGTCTTCAAACACCAGCACTTTTACCTCTTTTCCTGAATGGGAATCGGAGATACCAGATCACGCGTTCCTGTGGCAGCATTGGGATCAGTGTCCCTTGTGGATCTTGTTTCGTCCACTACCATCTTTCTGGTAAGTAACATCGTCCTGGGTACCTTATCCGGTCTCGTTCTTTATTTATGAAATCCATCTTCGCAAGCTGGCACTCAAATTAGGAACCACTGAAATTCCATTTGGATGCAATATTCTTGCCGTCACTTCGGGTACGGCATTGATGTAGGAAAAGTATTCGTTTAATAGTTCCCTTACTAATTCCGAAAGATGGGTAGACCATTGTTTTATAACAAAAACGACGTCTTATTCCGCATGACATCACCGGGATATTTCGCTATACGAGCATGGTATGCCTAAGCGTTACTACGGTGCCAAGGATCCAATGTGACTTCCCGAAAAACAAATAATTTCAGAAGTGTGATTAACAAACCTGTAGATGAATCCAGTTAGAGGTATAGCTTTGCGGGAAGAATCAGTTACGGAAAAAATGTGAGGGTCTTGTACCATACAATAAAGCGTTTTCTGAAAAGGTTCCAGAATTCGTCCTACAGACAGCATTGCTCTATCATGTTTAGTCAAGTAAATGTCAGCATATCTTTCATTGGAAATGTGCATATTTTGCAAGGCTGGAAGCAGCAGGAGTTTCTAAAGGTACTACTCATCCTTCACTCAGTTCAAGCAGTTGTTTTACGTCGCGCTGTCAGGGCAGAAAGCTGACTAAAATGCTCTTCTGCGTTCTGCCCAAAATTGCGAACTTCTGAATGGGTAGAACGTCCATCTATTTATGGGATGAATTCGCTTGCCGTAAAAGTCTTTGTACCGGTCAATTGTATTCGCCGAGGCAAAAGTTGACTACCTCTCAACATCAGTGCGTTGCTGCGGAGCGAAGTAGAGTTTAGCGATGGGTCAGTGGTTATGCGTTGAGTGTTGGTGCATATGTTAATATACGTAGTGCCGGTCGGGGGTTGATCTTCAATAAAGAAATCCTAGATCAAAAGTAACCAGATTGATGGCATTCATCAAGGGCTCTCCACGGGCTTCGTGAGTAAAAATGGCAAACGGCTATGAAACAGTTGGGTTAAACTAATCGCATTGATCAAATTATTCGAAACAGCCGTGATTTTGATGAGTATCAGTTGACGCAGGTCTAAAACTTGGGCTGTTGTTCGACAGAAGGCTCGTCAGAACGATGACTGTAGCTTACGCTGGACATTATCTTACCTATGAAGTGTTCTTAAATCCCAACACAATACTCACTGAGTTTTGCCCGATGAGTTCTTTAGATCAGCCTCACTGGTGCATCCGTCTAAGGAGAGTGGTACACCTGTTCACTCTCGCGGTTATGTGCGCTTGTAGGTCTGTGGCTTATTGTAGCTCCATCGTTTACCCTAAGACGGAGGTCACACCGGAGGGCCAAACCGAAATTTATGACAAAGAATACGAGTACGGGCTTACAGCTACTCACGGTGCCATTCATTTCTCGCTCGCCGATCTGCCTGAGGGAATTCTATACAGAATTACTGTCAACTCAAGCTGTTTTTAATCCACTCATTTACAAAGTATATCAAAAACTCGGGTGAGTTTCAAGCACATCAACTTTATATTTTCATAATTTTCACAAATTCCTCTCACAGTTATGATCGCGTACTGCAAAAACACCTAAAACCGGATAAAGCCACCAGCACTTACTTTCCAAGCATGTGTTTGTTTTGTACCTTGTACTTTCAGTCATGCAGCTAGAGCAGTACTAAACTCGCCCAACACACCTAGTGCGTTGTACTGGAAAACGTAACCGAATCCTGGTCGAAATTCCCGTTCAGGATGTTCAGCTGAGCGTCCTGCATTAATTCATTATTTGATACGTTAATCAGGATATTGTAGCATAATTTCTTGATTGAACCACTCATAAGATTCCTACAAACTCTTTGGCTGTTCGGGTAAAATAAAACGTCGTGAGAAACTCAAGAAATTCACCAACCTGGTGAGTTCCAAGAAGGGCAAAATAGATTTTGAACTGTCGAACAGTTTTCAGCAAACATGTGAGTAGTTTACTCCGATAAAGTACTCCTCGATATCTAGGACATCTGTATTGGCTGCGACATCGGGCCTCTGTTCATCTGTGCAGCACATTCATATCAAAGGGGAGAGGTTTAAATGGGGTTCAGTTGAGTCTCCCGTGAAAGCCAAATGATTGAGCAAATGATTGTATTTCGCGGATTTCATAAAAGCTGGGTTCAAGCAAAACCTGAGGTTGACGGAGGCGAAACTCGGAGATTGTGTCTACCTGATGACCCGTTGAAGGGGGAATCAATGGTAGGCTTTTGGAGAGGTTTTAGCAACTATTTGTTTTTTCTCACGGGAAGTTAATAATTAATTTTGTTTGACAACACGGAATTTAGCACATCCAGATATTCAATAAGTTATTGTTTGTCCTTCCAGTGCTAAATTTATCAGACAGACAGGGATGAGTTACTTGGGAAAAGAACTAAAAAGCATCATCAAGGCCGAATTCATTCGGTACCAATGAACAAAATCTCCTAAGTGGCGAAACTCGGAGATTGTGTCTACCTGATGACCCGTTGAAGGGGGAATCAATGGTAGGCTTTTGGAGAGGTTTTAGCAACTATTTGTTTTTTCTCACGGGAAGTTAATAATTAATTTTGTTTGACAACACGGAATTTAGCACATCCAGATATTCAATAAGTTATTGTTTGTCCTTCCAGTGCTAAATTTATCAGACAGACAGGGATGAGTTACTTGGGAAAAGAACTAAAAAGCATCATCAAGGCCGAATTCATTCGGTACCAATGAACAAAATCTCCTAAGTCGATTCACTTGCACTGTGATTCCAGAATAATGGAAAAGAAAATATCTAGTTGGTTACTTCCGTAATATTTTTTCTTCA